TATATCTGTGTGTGTGTGTGTGTGTGTGTATGTTGTATTGTGAACCTAAAGGGGATTTGTGCTCTTTTTCGTGAAATTAAAAAAAAAAATAAAACCGCTGCCATACTCTCGAGGACTTGGGCATATTGTCAACCTGGTTAAATTTATGTGTTTTCTTCTTGATTTGTGTCGATTTTTGCATTTTCTTTGCCCTAATTTCTCAACACATATTTTTTGGCTTAGGTTTGGTTCAATCATGTTATAGTGACGTGTAAATGAGTCGAATTTGAGCAAGCTAAACATGTGTTTATGTTTGGCTTGAGAAACAATTTGTCTTTTTTCGAGCAAAAATAAGCCGAACGGCCGTGGTTGGGCAAAGTGTCGCTCATGTTTGGCTCTTTTATAACTCTACACTAAAAAAAACTAATCCGTGAATTAGAGATTCAATTATGAACCAAGCCAAGCATTTGAGGAAGAAATGGAACAAGTTCAGGTAAAGCTGGGATTGGACCTCAGCTGGACACATTAGCCAACATTGTACCTTAATTCAATGCGAATTTAATCCTGAATGAGAAAGCTCATAGCCTCATTAACGCTGAGCTTATGACTCCTCGTTTCATTAACCATATTAATACTAGAGAACATGCAACTTTTTCCAAAACAGAAAAAAACAAATTAAAATCTGCAAATTCCGATCTAATTAAGCTCGGAGAAAAGTGCCAAAAACAGTCCCCAGTTACTTGTGCTCTCCGAAAGGTGCCATGTAAATGATCTATTTTGACATTTTGCTAAATAAATTCGCAAGGCCGTTCTAAGTTGAAAAAGCTTGTTGTCGCCTACCCCATGTTTGTTCTGACTGAATATAATGTATAAATGGTTCATTAATATTTAGATTATACTAAGCTCTTAATTTTTTTTGTATACATAAAAAGTATGTCAGTACTGATCATGAGGAGATTTAACGATCTAAAAGAAAAAAGTACGACAAAGTAGGGCACACCAACACAGAGTGACGCTATCCAAGCTAAAGACAGTAAGACCAAAGCTGACAAAGCCACAAGACAGACCAAAGACAATCAGGGGATGCAATAATGAATAATACAAATTGAAACGAGGCAAAAAGAATCCCAGAGACATTCAGAGGCCCCTCTTAAGGGGTTAGGGGTTCAGGGTCGATAGTTGGGCCACATCAATCGGCCGACCCATATCAAACAAGCTCAACAGACTGAATTGATCCAATCTAGCAGAAGTGATCTCACTCGACCGAGTTGGTCTTGTCGACATGAAGCAAATTAAGCTTAGATGATCAGCTAAGTGAGCAGCTGGACGATAAGTTCATACATGAAAAATACTAGAACTATCCTTATATGGTCCGATTACATTTTACTCTCTCCTATAAATAATAATATCATTTTATGAATAAGACACGACAGACACCACAAATTACTATAGATAGTGTTGTAATCGACTAGAGTCGAGCCGAGTCGGCTAGAGTATATCATAGTTCGGACTTGGTTTATATGTTGTTCGTGTTCGGCTTGAGATTGTATTGAGCTTTCATATATTGTTCAAGCTTTATTTGTTTAAAATTTTCAATGTTTGGACTTGATTTATTTATGACAAGTGAACAAGTATTTAAACGAGCTAATAAAAGTGCTACAAATTTAAATGATTATTTAGATTTTCATAAAAAAAATGAAACTATTATTTTATTGATTTTAAACTCTAAACCATACAATATCTTAAATCTCATTTCTTCTCCTTTTTACCCTAAATCCATTGCTTAGGAGATGTTTATTAAAATTATTTGTGTAACATTTAAGCATGATTAAACCTAAATCTTTACAAACTTTACAAACAACTAAAAATGGCAACTTTAAAACCTACAAAATCTTAATAAAAAGTATTTATATATTATATATGATATAAACTATCATCGAGCTATCAACAAACGAGTTAGTATTCTAATTAATTAAATTTTATTTAAACAATATATCAATTGTCATGCGAGCTATCATCGAGTTTAATATCGAATATTTATTAAGTTACTTGTTGAACAACAAACGAGTGTGTTCGTGAACAAAAATGAACAAATTCAACTATGTTCATGTTTAGCTCATTAAAGCTTCAAGCTTTTAAAAATTGTTCAAGCTTGTTTATTTATTAATTTAAACGAACATGTTGTTTCAATTGAGACGAGTTTCGAGTTGGTAATTGAGTGCATTGGTTCATTTACAACCCTAATTATAAATTATTGTTCGCTTCTCTCCCCTCCTCTCTCTCTTTTCCCCCTCTTATTCAAATTCAAGATAATACAAAACCCCATTTTCAAAAAGTTAATAGTTAAACTAACCGTCTCGACAAAACAAACCTGGTGATATTAAAATTGGTTAGATCCGAGTTTAATCAAGTCTAGATCAAACCAATATATGACAATTGGAGGCTTTAAATAATTAATTGAATTCGACAAATAAACTCCAAATTTAACATACATATAGTCAAATCGAGTATCTCGGCCGGAGGAATCCAACAAACCCAATATCACTCAATTCAAACTCAATATCACTCAATTTTGAGGTCGTTAAGACACATAAATCATAAAAAAAAGAACATATGATCAAAGGAGATCAACTTGTGCTGATAAGATAGTTTCATGAATTATTCCTGAAATGAACAAAATGGGGCAGAAAGAATGGAATTTCAATACTATTCTAGATCGAGGACTTGACGATAACTTCTGACATCCGCAGTCACCAATCACCGCTTGTTAGCAACCCCCCCGGTCGGCACTGTCGGCCACCCATGTTTGTAACATCGTATCTGAAATACAGTAATAATAGCTAACAGTGTATTGAAGATCCAACTATAAGTTCCAAGGACTTTTTCTGGAATCCAAAAGTTTTACGTATATGTATACATGTAAAGTGTTATAACCAGTGTAAAATTGTAACTCAGTTACCCGAGTCTGCAAAAATGATATAGCGGCCACCCATGTTTGTAACATCGTATCTGAAATACGGTAATAATAGCTAACAGTGTATTGAAGACCCAACTATAAGTTCCGATGACTTTTTCCGGAATCCAAAACTTTTACGTATATTGTATACATGTAAAATGTTATAACCAATGTAAAATCGTAATTCAATTACCCGAATCTGCAAAAATGATATATCTTTATAATTACACATTTTATAGTAGATTGCTTCAAAATAGCTAAACCCGGTTTTTTTCTTTTTTTTCAGATTTTCAGAAGCAAAAAACTTTGATATCTTCCCCTACTACTCTTCAATTATCTGTATGCTCTAGATATTTGTGTAACACTAGGACGATAATTTATCAATCTAACGTCACAAATTTTCTAACACGTAATAAATGCATAAAACTACGTGCATACAAATAAATATATATTTGTTGATTGGGTCTTAAGCTTCCCCCATCAATTTTTTTTACTTTGTAATCCAAGTATAATGTCTATATATTATTTATTGAGACATTTACAAACCACAAGATTCTCATGGTTTTACGTAGCTAACACCTAAACATTCACATGCACATCACTCAAAATTTCAACGTCACGCTAAAAATATTATCATCAATTTCTTTTTAAAAGAGCACATTTTCATTCACATGTTACGACAATAAAGCATTATGCATATAAATTTTGGACCAATAAAAAATAATAAAAATTGCAATTCATAATCAGATATCCCAAACCTCATCTTGAATCATCAACGTCCGTTGGATCCCCCCCAAACCAACGGCTCTCCGAACCTCATTCTCTCCCATCTTATCCTCCGCCCCAACCCATACTCCAAAACACCATCCCCTCCTTACCTAACTCCGGCACTCCCCAGAAATGGCCGCCATATCCTCAGCAATGGTCGCCGGCCAGAGCTCCGATTTCCTAGGCCGCCGCCTCATCTCCAAGAGCTCCTACGTTCGCAATTCCGACCAATACCGCCTGCCCTCTGCCTGGTGGGGGGGGTCGATTTACCGCTGGACATTATCGATCGGAGGGTGACAAAGATGAAGATGATATCACCGTCGAATGTTGCGGTCGACATCGGGCGCACGCTGAAGCCCCATGAGTACATTGGGATGGTTCGCCGTGAAGTCCTCGATGCTTACCTCCGAGATCGAGCCGCTGAAGCTGGAGCCACTGTTGTTAATGGTCTCTTCCTTAAGATGGACTGCCCGCCGGCCGGCTCCAGGGAGAAGTATGTATACAAATGTTTTACAGAAAGTGCTACACTGTTACTGGGTGATTGCTTGTGATTTTGTTCCTAATTCTTGTTTCATTTTGTTCTCTGGAGAAAATTTGCGAATTTGCTGACTTAAAGTTTTCTCCTTGTAATTTTTCTTCTTCTCAGGCGAGGCACTAGATTAAAAATATAGAATCTTTAGGGCAAATTCGAGGTCATCTTGTTGTTTCAACTGGTTCAGTCTAGGGTTAAATCCTTCTTATTTTTCTCCCTATTTGAATCTATTCATGCTAAGAAAATTTGCGCATTTTGCTGACTTAAAATTTTCTCCTTGATAATTTTTCTCTTCGTTGGCAAGGCACTAGATGATTAAAAGGCAGAACTTTTGAGGCAAATTCGAGGTCATCTTGTTATTTCAAGTGGCTCAGTTTATTGTTGAATCCTCCTTATTTTTCTTCCTACTTGAAACTGTGCATGCTTTGAAGAACTGGATATATTAAGCTAAGCTGAATTGCATGCGATTTTGTTTGAAACAGAAGCAGAATCCTTTTTGAAGATGAACTTTGGGTCAGAACAGCTGATTCATTACATAAATTTTATTATATTTTGAATTTGAATCAATAATCCGTCTCAATTGTCAAACAAATTTCTTGAAAGTTTGTCCTTTTCTGTTCTGTTAATACTAAATTCAGTGTTACGAGATATACTGGTCTAATTTCGCCCATCAACCTTCAGGTACAAACTCTACTACAACGATTACAGCAGCAAAAAGTCATCGACAGGGGAGAAGAAGGAGATGGAGGTGGATGCGGTGGTTGGAGCCGACGGAGCCAACTCCCGCGTAGCTAAGGAAATCGGCGCCGGCGACTACGAGTACGCCATTGCCTTCCAGGAGAGAGTCAAAATCCCAGAGGACAAGATGAATTACTACAAAGAAAGGGCTGAAATGTATGTCGGCGACGACGTCTCACCGGATTTCTATGGCTGGGTCTTCCCCAAGTGCGACCACGTCGCTGTCGGCACCGGCACTGTCACCCACAAATCTGACATCAAACGCTTCCAAGCTGCAACCCGTCTCCGCGCCCGCGATAAGATCGCGGGCGGGAAGATCATCCGCATCGAAGCTCATCCTATCCCGGAGCACCCTCGTCCTCGCAGGTATCGATCTCATTGTCGTCTTCATTAAGGTGTCATCTGGCAACAGATGAGATTTAGGTGGTGTTTCGCTGCGATGCAGATTTTCCTTAAATAGGATTTATCAAATTCACGAAATTCTGCGAGCTCGTGAAGGAGATGGAGCAACGGCGGAGTAAGTCCATTTAATCCGCCTTACAGTCGGATTTGATAAGTCCGGATTTAAAATACACAACAGACATAACGGGAAAAAATAGATAGAACGGGAGAGAGTTGGATTTAAAAGAGAGTAGAGTTGGATTTTACTAAATTCTAAATAGGTTAAATCCAAAACTGTCTGACAACGAACAAATCTTATAAATTCAATGGAGCTGTCTGGCAATTTCTATAAAGATTTAAGAAGTTGTTATAACTATTAGAGATAGTCGGAAGCCAGAGAAACCTCAAGCTCTGTAATCTTCTCCATCAATTCAAGAGGGGAATCTATGAATTTATTTTGTCCAAAATGATCATCCAACTGGATTCCGTCTGAATTCTATGTAAATCCGTTGCCAGACGGTCTCTAAATCTAAATCAGAAAAAAAAATAAAAAAAAGCCATTGATTGCTACCCACCATTGCAGGGTTCTCGATCGAGTCGCGCTCGTAGGTGACGCGGCCGGCTACGTGACGAAGTGCTCCGGCGAGGGCATCTACTTCGCGGCGAAAAGTGGCAGAATGTGCGCGGAGGCGATCGTGGAGGGCTCGGCGAATGGCACGCGGATGATCGAGGAGGGGGATCTGCGCAACTACCTGCAGAAGTTTGACAAGATGTATTGGCCGACCTACAAGGTGCTCGACATATTGCAGAAGGTGTTTTACCGATCCAACTCGGCGCGGGAGGCGTTTGTGGAGATGTGCGCAGACGATTACGTGCAGAAGATGACGTTCGATAGCTACCTGTACAAGCAGGTGGTGCCCGGCAACCCGCTGGATGATCTCAGGCTCGCCATTAACACGATCGGGAGCTTGGTTAGGGCTGGCGCGCTGAGGAGGGAGATGGCTAAGATTACTGCGTGATATTATATATTTGTGTATCAATAATTGTTGGTGGAGGGAATGCCGTAAAACTCAACTGTAATTTCTTATAATCACCGAGTTGTTTGGAGGAATTATGTTTTTTAATTTTCTTTTGCATTTCGTCGATTTCTAGACTTGTGAGAACCAGCTGAAGAGAACAAATCAATGGCTATCTCGGTTTTAGGCATAATAATACAGTTTTAACGTTCATTTTTCAAAAAGCTTTAAAATTTTTATCCAATAGTTTTAACGTTCATTTTTCAAAAAGCTTTAAAATTTAAATTTGGAAACACTTGTATTCTAATTTATCAAGGGAAAAGGGTATCAGGGAGATGAACTATATGACACCAAAAACGATCTGACTCGAGTCCAAGTTGGCCTAGATCATGCACTTAAAAATATTTGGAAGCTTTGAAACATATATTTTAGGGACCAAATAATCTCTACATTTGATAAGTTTATTGTCAAATCTAGTGTCTTGACAAATCGAATCCAATGAGCACAATATGAGTTGATTTTCACATCATTTGATGTCACTTAAATGCTCATAATACACCATGTAATCAAACATTTTTGACCGGTGTGATGGAGTAGTCTAAATTCATATCATATTTATAGAGGATGACTCTCATAAAATTTATAAATAGACCCACACTCATTTTATAGAATTGACAAACCTAGACATGAAGGAGAAAGTTGAAGGAGCTTCAAACTCTTGAGGATTCCTGAGCTCTATCACCATTTGATCATCTTTATCGCCACCACCAACCACAATGGTCGTTACCTGGCTATTACCTCCACTAGACCACTATTGTCTGGCCGTTGTCATAGAGCCATTGCCACTGCAGAACCACAGTTCCCCGACCACCATCGTTTGGTCGCTGCCACGGCCATTGTCCCCTTGCCCCCGCCAGACCACCAACCTCTGACCATCGCTGTTTTCCGACCACTGTCATTAAGCCGCCATAGCTGGAACCCTATTGCTCGGCCACTATCGTCTGACCAACGCCACTATTGGACTACACTCATCTCCGCCAGACCACTGTTGCCATCGTCGGATCACAATCCGCAACATGACTTCTCAACCACCTCAATCAATATGCCAGATACCGTCGTCAAGTGTCGTCACTATCGAAACACCTTCGTCGCTGCGCCGCCGCCTTCGGACTTGTGCTTTCTAACCATCACTGTTGCTTCCATTGGACCACCGCGGCTATTGATGATGCTGACATCAAACTTTTCTGGCACTGAGCCTCTTTTGTTAGTCTTCCTTCATAATAGCTGAGCCGCCGCCACTTCTCCAACATATTCCACGACTCCCCTTAGCTCACTCCGTGTAATATTGCTTCCAATTAGTCAAGTGTCGGTAAAATCTTGTAACCTATAATGACATGATGAAACTATTCCAACTGTATTAATGCCCCGTGATTTTTTTCCCATTTTACACGTAAAAACATCATGTGCCTCCTCTATGAACATTTCTTTAAATTATGTGTACTAGATTATCATGTAAGTTTATGACGTTAATATATCATTTTACTGTCACAAATTCTCCATCCTGCAACACCAGTGTAATTAGGGGTGATTATCATTTCACTTAAAATTTTTTGAAATTTTTTAATGTTGATACAACACTTAATAATCTCCTCCCACTAAAGTTAAATATTTAATAATATTTTTAATTTTAATTTAATAATTGTATTTTATTTTTAAAAAATATGCAATAAAAATTATGATTATATTGTATAATACATGATAAGCTTAACTCCCCCTTCACCACCTACTTCCCACCTAAGTTTTGAAACTTTGTTAGTATACGCTTCTCCTTCAGTCAAGATTGATTTTCTTAATAAATAGGACATGATAAGCTTAACTCCCCCTTCACCACCTACTTCGCACCTAAGTTTGGAAACATTGTTAGTATACGCTTCTCCTTCAGTCAAGATAGATTTTCTTAATAAATAGGAGCACATCCAAATCACTAATTACTAATATCTAATATATTTTCATTAATATATAATATATATTGCAATTAAAGATCAAATTCTCAATAAATAAATAAATAAATCAATAAATAATCCCACATTAATATATAATATATATTGCAATTAAAGATCAATTTCTCAATAAATAAATAAATCAATCAATCAATAAATAATCCCCTTACATTGATTTTCATCATCATGTTTGTCGTATTTTGTAGTGAAGAAAATTAAAAAAAAAGGCAAAAAATAAGCCCCCCAATGACCATTGCTTTCTCCTTTCATATAATTTAGTTTTAATATTGGCTAAAATATTTTTTGAAAGCAAATTGTGCTTATTACTTTATGTGTTTACTTTTTGCTAAGTCTCATAGATGTTTTAGGTTTAATGCTTTTAAAATGGATGCTTTTTAATTTGGATGAAAGTTACTCATAGTGATTAATGCCCATTAAAGAAAATTATAGACTAAAAAATTAATTTTTTATCATTAACAAACAATAAAAAAAATTGTCATTGTTGAATTCAAATGTGTCCGAGAGATATAACTAAAGAATAGAGCGCGAAAATAAAGAAAAGAACCAAGAGAGCACAATATTGAACAGTAAAATCACGTAATCTTTATTCACAAAATGAGACCCTATTTATAGAAATGGGAATCGTAAGTTTACATCTGTATCCATAGTAAAGTAGGTACGATGGGGGGTATTTTGGGCAATATATAGTTATAGGAATGGGAGTTTGAAAAGGCATTCAATGGTTTATGATTTGAGCTGCCATGGCTGAATGGTTGATCAAGAAGTGTCAGCCTCATTTCAAAGATTCAGGGGGCTTCTGCCATCCACTCTACTTGGACGAGAGTCCTATTGAATTGTTCATGTGAGGTCCATCTAAGTGACCCTCTAGGAGGTTTGTTGACTTTCGTCCATCATGGGGTTAAATTTCTCCCTGTCAGGAGGAGCTGAGCGGATAAATACATGCTCTCGAACAACCCTTAATGGATCCCAGCCTGCCACATCATTTTCTTTGTTGGCTATTGGATTTCATTAAGATTCGTGCTGACACTTTTTTTATGTACAATCATATCATAAATTCATGATAGCATTGTGATAAAAATTTTGAAAAATAACATTCTCAACAAGTGGCAAGAAATCAGCTTCAAAATTTATATTGATGTTACAAAGTGGTTTGTATTTTTATGTTATGCTTTTAAATGTTATGATGAAAGTTAAAGAATCGAATAATTGTGATAGTTCATTAAATTGACTAAGTTTTGACTTTGTATTATGAGAACATTGATATAGTGATGTTACAAAATGTTTTTGAAAAAATTTATATGAACCTTCTAAAATTTAAAGAGAGGCTTTATCGCTATTATTAAACAAAGTTTCAAAAGTTTATATGAAAGGAAATTGATAATAAAAAAAATATTTATTATAGTTAATGAAGCTTGTGATAAATCAAATTATGATTAAATGATAATTATATTAAGATTTAGTGATATAGATGAATTTATAAAGTAACGAGTTTTTGCTATAATCCATATTGAAGATACAAATGTATTAAATTTTGATGTTGATGATGCTTTCATTATAAAAATGACATTATTAGTGAAGAACCTCAATATAAAGTTGATATTTTCATAGCCAATATACATTACAATAACTAGGAAAGAATAACATATTTAGGGGCAAATCATAGAATTATTGATTTCTTAGTTATGCATTTGTTGAATCTAGATTTGTCTGTGACACACATCTAAGGAATAGAACGCCAAGATAGGAGAAGTAGAGAGAGAGATACATAGTAATGAATATTAAAACATCTTGTTGATTAATCTTTTCTCATAAAATGATTCTTCTATTTACAGAGGAGGGGATATAATATAATCTAGTTAGAGTTGCATTCTTGCCCCTGTTTTTAATGGGGGTGTTACAAGATATTATAAGTATTTTACATGTATGGGCTTATGACTCAAGCACCTTCAACATGGTTTGTTAAAATCACGAGTCCTACTTGTCAGAATGTGCTGAATCGGGATTTTTGAACAATTTTTTATGGCTTTCAGGTCAGCAAGACTTACTCAATCAACTTGACTTTGCCGATCGATTGTTCTAGTCTGACAATCGACTGTTGATCCATAGATGAGGAGCTCCTATTGGTAGAACGAGACAAGATTATCAGGCAGAGGGCGAATCACTGTAATTTGATATATGACTCATCCTTGAAGAGGGGATCCTCCAGAATATCTGTCAGTTATGTTATTGTCAATTCTTAGCTTATTGCATACATTAAAACCATCAACACGAATCTCAAAGCACTCGAACGACCCCGATGGCTGCCGTCCAACAAGGAACTGTGCAATTAGAATATGTTAACACATTATTGCGAGAGATTTAGTCGGCGAACTATGCCCGTAGTCCCAACCGACCAAGACACATGCAAGAGTCATTATCACAAGTTAGTCGGTCGACATGTTTTTACTATGACGGACGAGATCATAATTTGGCTGAGCTGATCAAATTCAAGCTGGTCAACCAGTCAATTACCGTTATATTAGAATTCAAATTGTAATACAAATATAGTATAAAATCTATAAAATTAATTAATGCATCAATTGCATTAAGAACGGTTTCCATAAATGTTTTTTCATTTATGCAATTGCACAAATACACCCCTATAATATATGAGGCAAAATGACAATTAAAGAGACTTCTCCCCGTTCTTCATACAGTTAATTGTTGACTTCTTCCCTACTTCCACCTTCCTCCTTCATCCAACTATAACTCTGGAGGTGTGTTCACAAAATACAATTTAGGATTCATCACTCATGATGAGGAATCTCGTGGGCATCTCCGAGAAGCTTGTCATATTGAACTCTTCCCTTGAGTTGGATTGCAATGATAGGCAAATCGATGCTTTGTTCGCCTCGATTGGCCTTGGTACTTAGTACGGGTGGCCTGCACCAGTCGACCTCCAACCCTGGTTCAGGAGGTTGCATCTGGTCAAGTGGGTCATTTATTCTCCTATCGGTGAGCCCTCCTTAGTTGTATTATTTTATCTCCTCGTTCGTTGAATCTCATCGAGATTCATGTCGGCGCTTCCCTGATGTACACCATTGGATTGTAGACAGAATAATATCGATTCTTACCAATTACTATCATTAGTTAATTTTCTAATAGATTTTAAATTAAATATTTCAAGAATCCAAAAAAAAAATACACTTAAAAATTCAATTGGACTGTTTTAAAATTGAATCTCATCAAAATTAAATTTTTCAAAAACTTTATAATTTTTATGGATTTCAAATTCTGACTGTTTAGGAAATGGATCATATACATCATTGTAATGATTGGATAAGTAGATTGATAGTAATATCACATGTTTCAACAGCAACTAAACATATATTTTAAGTGATATATATTGTCCAGATAAGACTACAAAATAAAATAAAATAAAATAAAAATTACTGTGAGTTTATTAATAATAAATATTGGTACAATATTACAATAAGGTCTATATAAAATCAATTATTTGTGATTTTGATAAAAATGAGGAATTGTCGGATTTGATTGAAGATGTATATTTATAATAGCTAAATTAAAATAGTTTTTTTTTTTTTTTTGGCTTTACAACTTGTTCTTATTTAATTTTTTATTCGTTATATATATATATATA